GAGATGAAGCCAAGGCTGAGGCTGGCTACTAGCGGATCTCGGACAGGCAGGAAATGCCCACGTGCTTTGATAAATCTTTTAAATAAAGATTTATCTTATTTTAAAGTGTGTGTGTGTGTGTGTGTGTGTGTGTGTCCACAGAGGCTACAGGACTTGGGGCAGTGGTCCCCTGGAACTGGAGTTACAGGTGGATATGAGCTGCTCAGTGTGGGTGCTAGGAACCACACTCAGGTTCTCTGCAAACGGAGTGTTTGCGATGAATCATGGAAGCATCTCTTTAGCTCCTAAGGCTTCCTCTCAGATTTTTACACACAACCATATATTTGAACCAATCAGGAAATTCAGGTAAGACTTCTCTTTGGGTCCTCAGTAGATTAAGGGTTTTCCCCTTGGGGATAGGGTCCAGACAAGTTGTATTTTAAATTTCTCCAGGTGATTCTAATAAGTATCCACATTATAAAAGATGGGGCAATTTAGTCTCCACGTGTTGATAGAGACCTTACTAAGTGTACATGTTTTAGTATTTTTGAGCGGCAATAACAAAATACCACAAACCAGTGGCTTATAAACAAGATATCTTGTTTCGTACAGTTCGAGAGGCTGGGAAGTCCAAGACCAAGCGCTAGCAGAATTGGTGTCTGTGGTGGTGTCACTTCCTGGGCATGGATGGTCATTCTTGTGTAGTAGAGGAAGGCAAGGGCTACTCAAGGGTCTCTCTGTTATGTAAACTAATCCCATATGTGAAGGCTCCAATTCTCTGGACTTAATCATTTCCCAGAATCTCTACCTCTGATACTCTCATAATGAGGACTAAGTGTCAACACTTAGTTGCATCCTGAACTGTGACAGGATACAAACACTCAGATGACAGCCATAGGGCACTGTATTTAGCACAGGGGATACCTCAGGGGACAGGATGCCACGAATAGAAACCGAGATGGGTCTTCAGGCCACCTGCCACCCAAGCAGCCTGACTCTCGATCACCCAATGGCTGAATGTTCATTTCTGCTTGAAGTGGCTGTTTCTAGTTTTGTGTTTTTCAAGTTGTTACATGAGCAGCAAACCTAGTTTCCCTAAAATTAAAACCTATTGCGAAACATTTTAAGTATAAAAAAAAAATTCAGAGTGTATGTATGATTTGTACCTTAACTCAAAAGACTCATGCTGTGTGAATTTTGCTGGGCTCCTATCTGGGAATGGCTTATTCACTCCAGATAGGATCCTGGTGACAGACTGTGCTAATGATTTCAACAAAGTCTAGTTTTGTGTACTAATGAGTTTATTCACAGTAAGCTTACAGGAGTGTGACCCTAGGGTTATGTTCTAGTTTAGCTGATATTGCTTTGGTAAAATATTTTGACAAAAAATAACTTATGGGAGGAAGAATTTATCTTACAAGTCCAGGTTACAGTTCATCACTACAGGGAATTCAAGGTAGGAGTGTGGGCAGCTAGACCAATTCACAGTTATATGGAGAGAATAAATGCACATGTGCTTAATACTTAGCTAGCTTTCTTTACTCTTATGCAATCCAGAGTTCCAGACCAGAGAACGATGATAGTAGATAGAACAGATAATAATAGAATAAATATCTAATATAATATCTAATATAAATATATGATATTTATATTAGATATGAATACAAGTACATACATACATGTGGTTTATTAGAGCGGGTTTAGGTTGTGGTCTGGGTAGCCATCAGTCACTATTGGAATCCCAAAGAAGTAGGTTCTAACACCAGAAAAGTACTGCCTTCGGCAGCAGGATAGATGAACTTGCCAGAATGGGGGCAGCCAGGCAAAATGCAAAAGTTCACTTCTTTCATGTCCATTGACACAGGCTGCCAAGAGATGGCTCAGCCCAGATTTAGGGTGGATCTTCCCACTTTAAATGACCAATTCAAGAAATCTCCTTACAGTTGTACCCAGCTGCTTGGTTTTAATTGATTACAGATAGTCAAGTAAACAAAACATTAGCCATCACAAGTATATTCCTTGGCACACACTCATATTTCCTTGTGTCTGCTTAATTTCCAAATGAAAGCAATAACTAGGTCATAATTCTGTCTAGTATAACTATCTCACATATAATTACAAGCGTGTTATTTATCTTAGAAAACATGGCAATGTCCCTTGAGGAATGTTTAGTCTTTTAGCATCTCAAAATTTAAATGTGATAATAACCGATGGTATTGATTTCAATCTATGTTGTATTAAATGATAAAGAAATATAGGAAGGAAAACACAAGTGTCTGATTAATGTATATATATGCAAATCTATCTATCTATATGTATGTATTGTGTATGTATGTGTGTATATATGTATACAGATTCTTCACAAAATAAGACAAAAACACCAAGTAAGTTATAATTCTTGTTTCTGCAATTGGTCATGTGGCCTTAGCTGGTATTTATAATTACCATCAGCTGCTAGACATTCTGTATCTCCTCTATCCTTAGCAAGTACTTCAGCAGACCTTGGTTCTTTCTCTAGAGAAGTGACCCATACAGATTGCTGAAGGATCTGGGCCCTTTGTTATCCTGCCTGGGTTGTTGTATTTTCCCATTGACTTTTATCTCAGGACACGGTGACATCAACAGATGGCCTAAAGGATCTCCTGCACTCTAGACATCATCTTCCTTACCCGAATTGTGGAGCAGCATGGGGAGCCTGGATCTAGCAGTCCCCCTTAACACTGTTATTTCTTTTTTGTCCTTTTGGCTTAATGGCATCAGAAGCCTGAAGTGTCCAGGGAAAGTCTGAGATTCTAGTTCAATAAAATGTTTCTTTTGTCTCTGGTAGGAATGTTCTCAGTTGGAAACCAACATTTCTAGGCCAGTAGAACTTAAGGTCTCAAGAACGGGAAACAATGCTTTCCCCAGTGGGTTACTAGGGGTGACAGTGAGTAGAAATACTCCCACTTCCAGCCCTTGGCTCCTGGACCCATGAATCCTGGCTATGTGAGAAACTATAATAGAGTCCTAGAACTTAGTAGGTCCCCAGGAAAGAAAACACGTATGTCTGATTAATGCATATATATGCAAATACATATCTGTATGTATATATGCATGTATGTATGTATGTATGTATGTGTATATGTATACAGATTCTTCACAAAATCAGGGTCCCAGACCTTAATAGGTCCCCAGATATTAGCGCAACTAACACCATAATGGAACTGTCATCCAGGCTGTAAAACTCAGCACATAAACAACACCACCTGCCAAAATTAAAACAAAGACCTAATTCATCAAAGTCCATACTTCTGGGAAAGTTTCTAAATGTACTAATCTTGCCTTTTGGCTTCTGTAGTTCTGCTTCTGGCTAACTGTTCTTGTTAACTGGAGTATGTCAACCCAGGACATGGTATTTGTGTTTAAAAGCTCACCCTGAGAAAGGCTCAGTGGTGTCCAGAATACCCAGTGTATTCGCTGGCCAGCTAATAAAGACTTTCTGTTGGTTTAAATCCACATCCAAGAAGTCTTCTCTGATAGATACCCCACAATAAAACCATACCATAGTTTGGGCATTCAAAGCACACACTTCCCTTAGAGAACCCTGCACCAGCCATCCAGGCTACTGCCACCTAATTGAAACTGTAACTGTGTCTTCAAAAACAAATTCCACCATTGTATTCGCCCATCTGCTTCAGGATAGTGGGGAGCACTGACTTATGGATTCCATCAGTGACCCAACTATTGCACCTCTCCTGCTGTGAAGTAAGTACCTTGGTCAGAAGCAACCTACCCTAAATCTGCACCGTACATTCTGGTGGCGACCCACAGATAAAGATATCTAAGCAGAAAGCTTTTTCTTTTTGATTTTCATTACAGCTTCAAGGATCCACTGTGTAAAGTGGGCTTGCAAGTTTTTCATGATCGACAAATGACTTCTTCAACACAAATTTATTCGTCGTGGGTCTCCTTGTATTTAACAGAATGTGTATATTTGCAATTCAACAAATAAGCAGACTATTCCAGACTATATTGGGCAACCTCTTTGGAACAAACATTCTTTTGGTTTCTGTGTGTGTTTCCTCTTCCTCCTTCTCCTTCTTGTTAAACTTTTTAATTAGTTCTTTGTGAATTTCATGTCATGCACCCAACTCCCACTCATTTCCCCCTCCCTTCACACTCACCTTTCAGCCTTGCTACCTCCTTCTGCAACAGAGGAAAAAAAACCTCACTGTGGAAGCTGTAGTGTGTCTCTGTGTGTCCTTGTGTCCACCCTTCTTTGCTTACAAATGTTCATTGCAGTGACTCATTGGTCTGGTATGAGGCCTCCAGCTTCTGCTACTCTATCAATAATGGGACCTCACGGGGACTCCTCTTGGATATCCAGATGTTGCCCTGTGTCATGGAGATCCTTTAGTTTGGGATCTGTAGGACCGGCCCTTCATGTACTCTAGCAGTTCATTGATGGGGTAGATATTGGAGCCTGAGCGGTATCTGAGATGGTCAGTATGCCAGCTCTCCCACTGGCTCAACAGAAACCCCTGCTTCCAGGGCTAGCTCTACCCTGCTGCCCAGGTGAGGTGCAGGGCCTGCTATCCTGAGTGTTATAGTTGATGAGGGACATGGCCAATTCTCCTACTCTCATGACCTGGGGGCCAGCTCTCCTGCCTGCCATTGGTGGCAAGGTTGTAGGGTGGAGGCATGGGCGCCTGGGGTCTCTGAGTGTCTGGATTCATCTCAGAAATGGTCTCAGGAATGCTATGCCCCACTTGTGTATTATGACACTGGACAGGGGTTATCTCAGGCATAGTTACCCCCCCTTCTGCCCCAGGCCTGCACAGCATCTGATTGGTGATTGTCTCAGGCTAGCTCCCTCTCCAAACCCTAAGGTGCTAGTCTGGTAGTAATCTTGGGTTGAGTGCTCTCATGGCCTGCCAGACTGGTCCCATGCAAGGATTGTATGGGGCCTGAGCAGAACCAGACTGATGGCCACCTTACGCTAGCTCCTTGTCTGAGCCCCTGGCACCAAACGTTTTTCAGGGAATGTCAGGCTACTAATCATTCAGATGTTCATAGGTCAGAACACTGAGCATAGACATAATACTGCTCCTCTCTGCCACCTGCTGGCGCACATGTGACACAGCAGCCACACTTGTAACTTCTAGGGGCAGTGGAATAACCCTTCTTAAGAGGCTCAAAAGAAAACAGCCAGGCAAATTGGACAGTTGTCTTACTTAGAGATGTAAAAGACTGAACTCTTCAAATGAAAGACATCTTTAGGAAATCTAGATCATAGTTGGAACTCCGAATGTTTTAACAGTCCATGATAACAAGTGAAGACTGTAGGGTCTTCAGGCAAACCTAGCCCTGTAGCATCACCCTGGAGCACTGTAGCTGCTCCAGGAAGAAGTCATGGCTCCCACCATTTTGTGTCTTAAAGCGTTAGTAAAGGGTGTGTCCTCTGGGTCTTCCCATTGTGGAGGATTAGGTTTTGTACAGTATGCCAATTACAGCCTTTTGATTTCACTGAGCCTTAAAAGTTGACTCATCAACACTCGGCCAAGAGGTATCAGGTTTCTCCAGCTGCTTTTCAGTAGACCATCTTATGTGAAATGCTTCAATCAATCAATCAAATAAACTTTGACACATTGTTTTTCAAACTGTGACTTTCCACACCAAACTTAGACTCGACATTCAGTGGGTCCATATTGATAAACTCAGCCTTGTCTAGTTTCATGTCCATTCCCACACACACTCCCCTACTTGAATGACTTAGCAAACTCTTTAAGCTCTTTAGTTGTATAGCATACTTCCTCATGAACTACAGTTTCTATTTTCCCTCTAGGAGCCTGTTTAGCCTTGAGTCTGGGTATAGGTCTAGAGGCAACCATTGGTGGAGACTGAGGGACGTTAGTATTGTCCTGCCCTGGCATCTCCCTTAGAGAAAGGCATTGATGATTGGATAGACAATGATGGATTAATTCCCTTAGGCAAAGGTAGAGAGAGCAATATTTCAGGGTGTGTGGTAGAAATGCATCTTCTGTTAAGGGTGCAGTGACTCCTTCCTGAGGTGAGATGAACCCCTCAGAAGCTGAAGGTTCAAGGTTCTCAGATTCACTAGGGTCCTCTCAAACATCTCCATCCCAAATTACCAAATCCCATCCCTTACCTATTAGTGTCTTTAACACTCTCTGAGGCTGGAGCTTGAACTTTCATTGTAGGTCAGCCAATCTTAAAATGAGGGCTTTGGTTTGATTTTCCACAGCCTGAATTCTATGGTTCTTGGAGAGAAGATTCTCTTCCATGACACACATAGAAAACATTGTATTCTTTTTTAAATGTGACTCTGAAGCTGGTTGATTTTTCATTGAGCTCATACTTTTTCCTTTGCTAGATTATCCAGAACTTCTAGAAGCAACCAGCCAACACCTCTAATGTCCATATTTATCCACAAATTGTCAAAAGTTTTGTATATGAGCTCTCTAAATTCCTTGTTCCCTGCAGTAAACCCTTAAAATATTTGTAGCTATGGGCTTGCAGTGTTCTATCTGCTACCAGAGGAGTCATCAGGAACTGTAGGTGCTGGTGTGCAAAGCCTGTTCCAGATATTTAAAACACTCATCCTAACAATTCTGTTTCTGTAGAAACACTCTTGGTGCAACAATCTGTATTAGTCAGGGTTCTCTAAAGAAACAGAACTCTTCCTCTCCTCCCTCTCCCTCTCCCTCTCCCTCTCCCTCTCCCTCTCCCTCTCCCTCTCCCCCCCCCCCCTCTCTCTCTCTCTCTCTCTCTCTCTCTCTCTCTCTCTCTCTCACACACACACACACACACACACACACACACACACACAGCACATGTGATTTATTAGATATTATTACACATTATGTGGAATGTGAAGTCAAACAATGACTATTTCTGGATAGAAAGACTAAGAATCTTTCTGCTAAGACTAATCTGCTAGTTGCTCAGTCCACAACACTGTGTGCCTCAGCAGCCCTGATCTGCTGCTGGAGTCCCAAAGGATTTCTATAGAGTTCATCCATTGCTGGAATCCTGAGAAAGTGGGTTCTAATACCAGTTGTCTTAGTTAGGGCTTTACTGCTGTGAACAGACACTGTGACCAAGGCAACTCTTATAAGGACAACATTTAATTGGGGCTGGCTTACAGGTTCAGAGGTTCAGTCCATTATCATCAAGGTGGGAGCATAGCAGCATCCAGGCACACATGATGCTGGAGCAGCTGAGAGTTCTACATCTTGTTCCAAAGGGGTAAGACTGGCTTCCCAGGCAGCTAGGAGAGTCTCAGAGCCTACCCCTACAGTAATGCACTTCCTCCAACAAGGCCACACCTACTCCAACAAGGCCACACCTACTCCAACAAGGCCACACCTACTCCAACAAAGTCATACCAACTCCAACAAGGCCACACCACCTAATAGGGCCTTTCCCTGCATCATCATACTCAAACCACCACACCAGTGAAGGACCACCTCAGCCGCAGCATAGATGAACCTGCCAACAAGAGTGAACTCAACCAGACAAAAAGCAAAAGCTTCCTTCTTCCACGTTCTTTTATGTTCACAGAAGGTGTGGCCCAGATTTAGGGTGAGTCTTCCCACCCCAAATGATCCAATCAAGAAAATCCCTCATGGGTTGGCTTTAGTAAAACCAGATGTAGTCAAGTTGACAAGCAAGATTAGTCATCGCAGGGTATTTTCATTATTCGAGGCTCTTTGCATTTCCATATAAATCATACAATATAATTAGCCGGTGAATTTTTAAACAGATTTCTATTTTTAGACGTTTTCCTCAATAAATCTTCTGTGGCCTTTCATACTATAACAACCACTAATCTCTTGAGTATTTCTGCACGTTGTTTTTAAGTACTGGAAATTGAACTCGGGGCCTCAGACATGCTAAGCATAGTCTCTTCTGCTGAGCTGGACCCTGAGCCTCCACACTGTGCCCTACTCACCGAATCTGCTGCCTTACTTGAGTAAGTCCAATTGGGTGGCAGGTGCCATAATAGCTACTTTTGGAGACTGCAGCAAGATGACACTCGAGTCCAGTAGATCAAGGTCAGCCTGGCCTCATAGGAAGATCCATTTAAGAAGCTTTTTCTTTCCTCAGCTCTCTGGGGACACTGTTAACATCCATACAGCTAAAGTGCTTTCTATATTTAGAAAGCATGTATTCAATCACATGTGGCTATGTATGTTTACCTTGTGTGCCCACGTGGTATTGACTTCTTTATAGGTGGCTTTGCATTCAAATTTATTTGAACATCTTTCCTTATGAATATACAAGATTACAACTCATTATCATAGCTAGTTGGTAATTATCCATTGGGTGAAGGATATCAGGCAGCTGGCCTGGCTTTCTCGGACTGATGGATATTTAGATTGCTTTTAGTTTTTCGTCAGCACAAATATTTGTTCATTTTTTTCTCCTGATTAGTCTTAGAATATTGACATCTAGTTTAAACATAGGAGGTGCCTTTTACCTGTGGGATAATTTGGAGGATGCTTGTTATCTCTGTTAGTTCTGAGCCTCTGCATCCAAACTGTATCCACTCACCTAAGTTAACTTGGGAAAGCTTAGCAATTCTTTTCAAATTTAAAAATGCATTCTTGGAGATTGGACCTCATCTTTATTTAGAGTTTAGAAAGACATTATTTTTTGTTACATTTTCAGAGAGATTTTTTTTCTCTAGTAAGTGGATAAACCACTGGTTTTGTGTATTAACTCATTTTTACTTTATGAATTAGTACTTATAGGAAATTTAGGTATTCCTGTTGTCTCATAAGATAATAACACTATGTAAATTGTTTACCTGCTTGCTTTTATTTTACTTTTTCTTCCTTTTTTTTTAATTGAGTATTTTCTTTATTTACATTTCAACTGTTTTCCCCTTTCCAGGTCTCCCTTTTGGAAAACCCCCCATCCCTCCTTCCCCGGCCTCTATGAAGGGGCCCCCCCCCACTCCTGCCTTCCCGCTCTGGCATTCCCCTACACTGGGGCATCAAACCCCAACAGGATCAATGGCCGCTCCTCCCACTGATGTCCAACAAGGCTATCCTGTGCCACATAAGCACGGCTGGAGCCATGGGTCCCTTCATGTGTACTCTTTTGGTTGGTGGTCCAGTCCTCGGGAGCTCCAGGGGGTCTGGATGGCTGACACTGTTGCTCCCCCCATGGGGGTGAAAACCCCCTCAGTTCCTTCAGATAGTAGTCTTGTTTATTTTCCTTTGTTATCTTGATTCACTGGGTCATTCCAAGTTAGTAGTGGGCATATTGGTTGTAATCTGTTCTGGCTAGTGATGTGCAGAGGCACTAGTTTGTTTCATAAAGCTATATATCTTATATATTAATAACTGTTAGGTCAGAATAACTTTAGACTTACAAAACATTGGGAAGATAGTGTTGCTTTGTGTCTGGGTTGTCCCCCCAAAGACCTGTGTATTAAAGGCTGCTTCCCTGCTGCTGCCAGTCTGAGATCGCTGCTTTCTGTTGTACTATTCTGAGTTATAAAGAAGCAGAGGAACAAAGTGATTATGAGCTGAAGCCTTCCAAACTGTGAGTTAAACTCAACCTTTTTTTCCTTTAAGTTGATTTTCTCAGGCACTTTGTCACAGTGGTGGAAAGTAACAAATAGAGATTCCCTGTATCCGGCATGTCCAGTCTTCCGTTGTTAACATTGTAACTGCCAAAATCCTCAACTCTAAAACCAGCACAGTGCAGTCCCATTGATTGAACTTTAGGCTTTATTTGAATTTTTCAGTCTTTGCAACGAATATCTTCTCTGTATTTCAGTATGTTTCATGTGTCACTAAGTTTCCTGTCTGTTATAGTTTCTTAATCTTTTCGTATTTTTGAAGGAGTGTTGGTTGAGAATGTTGTAGAATCTCCCTCATTTTAATTTGTCTCATATTTTCTCACAAACAGACCATGGGTATGGGTTCTAGGGAAGAGTGTTGAGGTTTGGTCTACTACTATGCATTGTATTGCTGAATTCTATAACTGAAGGTCTAGGCCTATGAGTGACTTCTCCCATTCACAAGCTTCTGTTCTAGAAATCTTGTTCCTTGATTTAAAACTATTGGTTAAATAGAATTGGCTACAGTAAATTACTGAATGAATTAGAGGTAGGTGGGTTAGGAGTGACCTGACGG